TGGTGAGAGGTTAAGTGTCCGGGGGTACACTTATAAGCACTGACCTCATGCAAGCTCTAACGCCCGTCTTTATGGTCTCCTGCTGGTCATATGTTGCTGGTACTCTTTTGTTGTCGGTCTCTGGTGTTCCTTGTTGTCGTAGGTCTTGTGGTGGCTGGTGGAGGTGTTGAGGCTTGTGTGGTGTGCTCGGCTCTCCGCCTCCTCTCTCTCTCTCTCTCCTCTCATTCACCAATGCGCTGAGAGAAGAAGTTGTGGAAGCCTCCTCCATGGACAACTTTAAGGCCAGGGTTGAGGATGTGCGCATTCGCCCGTGCACAATGGCAGCGGTAGAGGTAGTGTGGTGGTAGCCACTCTGGGTGGTGCAGGTAGAGGCCTGACCGACCCAGCCCAATTATTGTAATTAAACAAATATTTATTTTTTAATGACGCTGTTACCTGCATGCAAAAGTCATTACCATTCCATCACACCATTACACTATCACACCAACACCTGTCATTATCAAAAACATCCATGCACCATCTCTCTAATCTCTCCGTCCACTAGGACAGGCCAGTACGGCGACGTTCTCACATCGTACAGGGCGACGTTCGATCCCCCCCAATAGTCCCAAATTGCTGGACCTTGTTCCTTCACCCTATCGTGTCCCAGCTCCTATCCTCGCCCCCCACCCCACCCCCGCCATGCTGCATAATCTCCTTCTCATCATAAGAAGATTAGAGCCCCCCTGGTCCAGGCCAGGAGGCTCCTCATCTCCCGGGGATGATATAGGCAACATGTGTGTTATGGCGGGCTAGAAATATTCACCCGCCCGGCGTCCACTAGGTTAGTCAGGCATGAATTTTTTGCAATAAAGCCGTGTTGGTGTTTGTTTACACCTCTGGTCCTAGCCAGGTGTTTTAATTGCCGGTGTTTTCCTTAGCGTTGGGTGCAGGTGTTGGTGTGACGTGTGTCTGTGGCTAAACGTAAGCAAAACTAATTGTAAAGGTTTTGTTGATTTTTGTCATGTTTTTGTTTTGTTTTTGATTTTGAACGACAACTGTTCAAAGTTTTTGGAGTTTTCATTAGTGATACAATATATATGATGATTATCTCCCTCACCTCACGTCTGTCTGTCTCTATCTCTCTGTCTCTTGTCTGCCGCTGTCTGTCTGTCTGTCGCTGTCTGTCTGTCTGTCTGTCTGTCTGTCTGTCTGTCTGTCTGTCTGTCTGTCTGTCTGTCTGTCTGTCTGTCTCTCTCTCTCTCTTTTATCTCTCTCTATCTCTGTATGTCACTATGTCACCTTCTTGTCCACCCTCCCTCTCTTCCTCACCCTTTTCCCCTCCCCTATCTATCTATCTATCTATATATATATATATATAATATATATATATATATATATATATATATATATATATATATATATATATATATATATATATCCTTCCTGCCTTCAACCCCCCTGAAGACCTCCTCTCCAGCTCCATTAATACGTTGACTAAATTCCAATAACACCCCGCGCCAGTTGGTTCCTTAATGAATACCGGTATTTGGCTTCACCATCGTAATTAATTTTCCATATTTGGAGGCCGCCCGACTCGTTAATTTACACAGGCTAAAATATATGATGATGCCTCTGATAGGAAATGCGTCAGGTGTCATCGAACGGATTTGTCGGTGTGTGTGTGTGTGTTTGAAGGAGGATTTGTTTGTGTGTGCTTGTGGGACGGATTTGTTGTGTGGGCTTGTGGGACGGATTTGTTTGTGTGCTTGTGGGACGGATTTGTTTGTGTGCTTGTGGGACGGATTTGTTTGTGTGCTTGTGGGACGGATTGTTTGTGTGTGCTTGTGGGACGTATTGTTTGTGTGCTTGTGGGACGGATTTGTTTGTGTGCTTGTGGGACGTATTTGTTGTGTGTGCTTGTGGGACGTATTTGTTTGTGTGCTTGTGGGACGTATTTGTTTGTGTGCTTGTGGGACGGATTTGTTTGTGTGCTTGTGGGACGGATTTGTTTGTGTGCTTGTGGGACGGATTTGTTTGTGTGCTTGTGGGACGGATTTGTTTGTGTGCTTGTGGGACGGATTTGTTTGTGTGCTTGCGAACGGATTTGTTTGTGTGGGCTTGCGAACGGATTTGTTTGTGTGGGCTTGCGAACGGATTTGTTTGTGTGGGCTTGCGAACGGATTTGTTTGTGTGTGCTTGCGAACGGATTTGTTTGTGTGTGCTTGCGAACGGATTTGTTTGTGTGGGCTTGCGAACGGATTTGTTTGTGTGTGCTTGTGGGACGGATTTGTTTGTGTGCTTGTGGGACGGATTTGTTTGTGTGTGCTTGCGAACGGATTTGTTTGTGTGTGCTTGCGAACGGATTTGTTTGTGTGGGCTTGCGAACGGATTGTTTGTGTGTGCTTGCGAACGGATTCGTTTGTGTGTGCTTGCGAACGGATTTGTTTGTGTGGGCTTGCGAACGGATTTGTTTGTGTGGGCTTGCGAACGGATTCGTTTGTGTGTGCTTGCGAACGGATTTGCTTGTGTGGGCTTGCGAACGGATTTGTTTGTGTGTGCTTGTGGGACGGATTTGTTGTGTGTGCTTGCGAACGGATTTGCTTGTGTGGGCTTGCGAACGGATTTGTTTGTGTGGGCTTGCGAACGGATTTGTTTGTGTGTGCTTGCGAACGGATTTGTTTGTGTGTGCTTGCAAACGGATTTGTTTGTGTGCTTGCGAACGGATTTGTTTGTGTGTGCTTGCGAAAGGATTTGTTTGTGTGTGCTTGCGAACGGATTGTTTGTGTGGGCTTGCGAACGGATTTGTTTGTGTGTGCTTGTGGGACGGATTTGTTTGTGTGTGCTTGCGAACGGATTTGTTTGTGTGTGCTTGCGAACGGATTTGTTTGTGTGGGCTTGCGAAACGGATTTGTTTGTGTGTGCTTGCAAACGGATTGTTTGTGTGTGCTTGCAAACGGATTTGTTTGTGTGTGCTTGCGAACGGATTTGTGTGGGCTTGCGAACGGATTTGTTTGTGTGGGCTTGCGAACGGATTTGTTTGTGTGGGCTTGCGAACGGATTTGTTTGAGTGTTTGTGTGTACCTCCAAAGGATACCTGATCAACCAGGCTGTGACTCGTACGTCAGGATGCGAGCAGCCGCGTCCAACAGCCTGGTTGATCAGTCCGGCAACCAGGAGGCCTGGTCGACGACCGGGCCGCGGGGACGCTAAGCCCCGGAAGCACCTCAAGGTAAGGTTGAGGCCGGATTTGTTTGTGTGTTTGAGGCCGGATTTGTATGTGTGTTTGCGAACGGATTTGTTTGTGGGTTCGGAAACGGATTTCTAACATGGTGGATTAGAGTGTCAGCACTGAGACTGAGTGTTGGACTCCACACTTGCAATTAACTTGATTCACTAAAGTTGTCACAGATAAAAGCATTTCTAAATTTTATTAATTCATTGAGGGTGGGAGTCGTGGTGGTTTATCAATAACAGAGGGTAGAGGTCGTGCTGGGTTACGGGAAGACAATCTCTCCATCCCAGGATGATAGGCTACAGGAAGACAATCTCTCCATCCCAGGATGATAGGCTACAGGAAGACAATCTCTCCATCCCAGGATGATAGGCTACAGGAAGACAATCTCTCCATCCCAGGATGATAGGCTACAGGGAGATAATCTCTCCACCCAGGATGATAGGCTACAGGAAGACAATCTCTCCATCCCAGGATGATAGGCTACAGGAAGACAATCTCTCCATCCCAGGATGATAGGCTACAGGAAGACAATCTCTCCACCCCAGGATGATAGGCTACAGGAAGACAATCTCTCCACCCCAGGATGATAGGCTACAGGAAGACAATCTCTCCACCCCAGGATGATAGGCTACAGGGAGATAATCTCTCCACCCAGGATGATAGGCGACAGGAAGACAATCTCTCCACCCAGGATGATAGGCTACAGGAAGACAATCTCTCTACCCCAGGATGATAGGCTACAGGAAGACAATCTCTCCACCCCAGGATGATAGGCTACAGGGAGATAATCTCTCCACCCAGGATGATAGGCTACAGGAAGACAATCTCTCCACCCAGGATGATAGGCTACAGGAAGACAATCTCTCCACCCCAGGATGATAGGCTTCAGGAAGACAATCTCTCCACTCCAGGATGATAGGCTACAGGAAGACAATCTCTCTCTCTCTCTCTCTCTCTCTCTCTCTCTCTCTCTCTCTCTCTCTCTCTCTCTCTCTCTCTCTCTCTCACTACCACGGGAGGGGGTATAGTGACGTTGGTGTAGGGAGTGTAGGCGGAGATTGGTTCAGCTGGGTCAGGTAGATTAATGCCCGGCGATCAGTCACAGCTCCAGCAGTGCCGATGACTAGGAATACCACACCCTCGCATCACACCCGGCAGGGAGAGGGAGACGGAGAGAGAGAGAGAGAGAGAGAGAGAGAGAGAGAGAGAGAGAGAGAGAGAGAGAGAGAGAGAGAGAGAGAGAGAGAGAGAGAGAGAGAGAGAGAGAGAGAGAGAGAGAGAGAGAAGATAGTGTGTATATTGAGCATGGTTACAGTGAAGATGGTGTATATTAAGCATAATTACAGTGAAGACAGTGCATGGTGAAGTTAGTTGCTCGAAACGCTACACGTACTAGTGGCTGTACAAGAATGTAAGAACTCTTGTATATATAAATAAATATAATAAATAAGTTACATTTATGGAGACAGTGCGTCGTGAAGACCCTCTCACCCGAGCAAGGCCGGGTGAGAGGGTACTCTCACCCGAGCAAGGCCGGGTGAGAGGGTACTCTCACCCGAGCAAGGCCGGGTGAGAGGGTACTCTCACCCGAGCAGGGCCGGGTGAGAGGGTACTCTCACCCGAGCAAGGCCGGGTGAGAGGGTACTCTCACCCGAGCAAGGCCGGGTGAGAGGGTACTCTCACCCGAGCAAGGCCGGGTGAGAGGGTACTCTCACCCGAGCAAGGCCGGGTGAGAGGGTACTCTCACCCGAGCAGGGCCGGGTGAGAGGGTACTCTCACCCGAGCAGGGCCGGGTGAGAGGGTACTCTCACCCGAGCAGGGCCGGGTGAGAGGGTACTCTCACCCGAGCAGGGCCGGGTGAGAGGGTACTCTCACCCGAGCAGGGCCGGGTGAGAGGGTACTCTCACCCGAGCAGGGCCGGGTGAGAGGGTACTCTCACCCGAGCAAGGCCGGGTGAGAGGGTACTCTCACATAAAAACAAATGGGATCAGGACAGAGAAGCAGATGGTCCTCCTGCACACAGCTCCCTCCTCCTCATAATACAAGCACACGGCGAAACAAAACCCCACACAATTTCGTACAAAACAGTTGCAGGAAAAATGAATATAAAGGAGGATTACTGAAGCTAATGTTTGTAACACCGCTAATGTTCTCCCCCAGCACGGTCGGCCGAGCGGACAGCACGCTGGACTTGTGATCCTGTGGTCCTGGGTTCGATCCCGGGGCGCCGGAGAGAAACAATGGGCAGAGTTTCTTTCACCCTATGCGCCTGTTACCTAGCAGTAAAATAGGTACCTGGGTGTTAGTCAGTTGTCACGGGCTGCTTCCTGGGGGTGGAGGCCTGGTCGAGGACCGGGCCGCGGGGACACTAAAGCCCCGAAATCATCTCAAGATGACCTCAAGATAACCACCTGCCTGGGCGCCTGATAGCTGGGTGGACAGCGCTTCGGATTCGTAGTCCCGAGGTTCCGGGTTCGATCCCCGGTGGAGGTGGAGACAAATGGGGAAAAATATTTCTTTCGCCCTGATGCCCCTGTTACCTAGCAGTAAATAGGTACCTGGGAGTTAAACAGCTGCTACGGGATGCTTCTTGGGGGGGGGGGGTGTAACAAAAAAGAGGCCTGGTCGAGGACCGGGCCGCGGGGACGCTAAGCCCCGAAATCATCTCAAGATAACCTTAAGATAACCACCTACGCCTCTTTCCATTTGTCAAGAGTCATACTCCCTCTGTACATAGACTAGAAGTAAGCTAGTTATGTTTTATTATACTTATAGGTAGGCAAGAAGCCCAAATTTTATATTGCTCTTGCTTTACGTTCGATGACAGGGAGGCAGGGCATAGCAGTCTGCACAAAGATGGCGGATCAGCCATGCCCCAGAAGAGGATTTTCCCGCCCAGAAATACTCGGAGGAAGTGACACCGAAATTCCCGGATGTGAAGGCGATGATTGGTTGGATGTTAGTGGGCGTGGCCAATGAGGGTTGGTTGTGACCAATGAAGGTTCGACGTGACCAATGAGGCGCGGCCTGAGGTCATGTTACTGAGCTACCTGAGGGAGGGAGTGCGGGTCCCCGAGAAAGTGTCATTGCCCTTTTGACTACTCGCCCAGGTGGCGAATCCCTGGAAAGAGCCCAGGGAAATCATGCCTTTTTAGCGCCATCAGGGCAAGGATTAACCCAAAGTTTTAATGTCTTGGCTGGTAATGTTCGAGAGCTAAAGCAAAAGAGACATGGTGATTTTTTTTTTTTTTTTTTTTTTTGAGATATATACAAGAGTTGTTACATTCTTGTACAGCCACTAGTACGCGTAGCGTTTCGGGCAAGTCCTTAATCCTATGGTCCCTGGAATACGATCCCCGCCGCGAAGAATCGTTTTTTCATCCAAGTACACATTTTACTGTTGCGTTAAACAGAGGCTACAGTTAAGGAATTGCGCCCAGTAAATTCTCCCCGGCCAGGATACGAACCCATGACATAGCGCTCGCGGAACGCCAGGCGAGTGTCTTACCACTACACCACGGAGACTGTTTCCTGAGGTAGATACGAGTCATACTAGACTCTTGACACTTTAGACACGAGTGCTAGATCTTCAGATTGCAGACAAAAGCTACTCGAAATTACGGTGGTCCCCCCCCCCCCTGTGCACCTGAAGACGGGGCTGAGGAGCTAAGTGACGGCTCGCGAGCGGTTTCCCTCATAACCGTGGATTACAAATGACTTCTATCTGTAGATATGTTATGCTGGTATACAATATATACGTTTGTTATGAGAAGATTGTGTGATTAACTCAAAAGGCCAAGAAGGTATCTACTTTAAAGATATACAATAACGTAATATTAGTTTCAGTAAGAATTACTGGATAAAAAAGCCCTACTTGTATTTGTCCTAATTTTTTGGTACTCGTGATTCGAGTTTGTGTTTTTGAGTGTACCTAGCAAACTTTGTGGGCCAGTATATTCTTTACCACCTGACGAGTGGTAATGAGTTGACTTTAACTGCTCCTGAAGAAGTCATACATTTTTACAGTTAAGGCCAACGTCTGCGGGTGTTGCCATATGACTTAATACTTCAGGGGAGTGTTGCCAAACTGTAACCTTTTATTCACTTGGCTGGCCTTATGTGAATGTGTTTATCATTAAATGTTTAAATTGTCATCCACACTTCCGTGGAAATAAACATTTCCTTCACCAGGGCTCTAGGAGACTTGAACCGCGGACACCAGCATCCACAGGTGTACACCAGCAAGCACAGGTGTACACAAGCAAGCACAGGTGTACACCAGCAAGCACAGGTGTACAGCCTAGTCCCCAACCACTTTTATTTCGTGGCTAAATGACAGTCAACCAAATTGACGACCTTTGTAGTAGAGCACCTTTGTGGCGGGCAGGTACGGGGAGGTAGAGAGCAATGAGAGCAGAGCTGTATGAGAAGAGGTTGCAGTAAGGAGACTCCCCGGCCTCTATTCCACCACTCGTGTCACCGCTGGGAGAATGACTCGCCCCGCTTACACCAATGTCACCAAGGTGACAAGCCTCGTGATCTGTCCCCCTCCCACGGGTCGGGGTCGCCAGACACGCGTCCCTGGTTCTTGCAATAACTGAGGACCCGAGGGAGGAGAGCTACTAGCTAGCAGTCACTAGACACCATAACTATGAAACTACCGTGGCCGCCCCTCAGACCTCCTCCTCCTCCTCCCCTACCACCACGGGTGACGGATTGACACCAAGGAGCGGTTGGTTCATTAACTATCAGACCATCGACCACCTCGCTCGATGTGGGGCGACACCGGAAGGAATGTTAGACCAACATTATCTTTTCCATTACAGTGAGGATAATTACGGTTTCAAGGAACTATTTAAGCCTTGTAGAGCAATAAACAATGTGTGTGTGTGTGTGTGTGTGTGTGTACTCACCTAGTTGTACTCACCTAGTTGTGTTTGCGGGGGCTGAGCTCTGGCTCTTTGGTCCCGCCTCTCAACCGTCAATCAACAGGTGTACAGATTCCTGAGCCTATTGGGCTCTATCATATCTACACTTGAAACTGTGTATGGAGTCAGCCTCCACCACATCACTTCCTAATGCATTCCATTTGTCTACTACTCTGACACTGAAAAAATTCTTTCTAACGTCTCTATGGCTCATTTGGGCACTCAGTTTCCACCTGTGTCCCTTGTGTTAAAATGTCCTGTCTTTATCTACCCTATCAATTCCCTTCAGAATCTTGAATGTGGTGATCATGTCCTCCCTAACTCTTCTGTCTTCCAGCGAAGTGAGGTTTAATTCCCATAGTCTCTCCTTGTAGCTCATACCTCTCAGCTCGGGGTGTGTGTGCGTGATCAGTAACTCGCAGTTTAAGGGACGGTAATTATCAATAGAAAGCGTTGTCAGTACGACTATCTAGCACTTAGACGGGAGCTGTGAGAGGACGGACACAAGGAACACCACAGTGGCGGACTATGACAGGGGCTTGAGGAGGGGGGGAGGGGCTCCGCCTTCGTCACTAGAATATCTATAATTTGCAGCTCACTGGTTAAAGTTTAAGGTGTCAACATATCCACCTATCATAAATGCGTTATGCTCACCTCTTCCTAGCCGCGTATAAAACGCGCATTCAATATTTATTTCCTGGTCGAATATCCAACAATTAACGATGAAGACACTCCAACACCAACTATCAAGTTTCAGAAGAGTTACTTAGTTGACATCGAGCCTGAATTTGTGCCAGAAACACTTCCCTTCATGAGCTTTGTTAGGCAGCTTGAAAAATTTCACCCACACGCATCACACACTCTACAAGCTGGTGATAGCTACACCTTGCAGTAAACAATGGACTAACTTTTTCGTTCCAAGATGAAACGTCCCAACATCTGGCACAGGTCGAGAGTGGCCTCCTGACCCACTAAACACACTTGCTCTCATGGCGATTGAAAACAACGTTCTCAACAGCTTACAATTTACTTATGCTTCGAAAAATTGTTTGAAGGGGGACATGGAAGAGCCACAAACAAGGGGGCAGGGAAGACTCACAAACAAGTGGGGACATGGAAGAGCCACAAACAAGGGGGCAGGGAAGACTCACAAACAAGTGGGGACAAGGAAGAGCCACAAACAAGTGGGGACATGGAAGAGCCACAAACAAGGGGGCAGGGAAGACTCACAAACAAGTGGAGCAAGGAAGACCCACAAACAAGTGGAGCAAGGAAGACTCACAAACAAGTGGAGCATGGAAGACTCACAAACAAGTGGAGCAAGGAAGACCCACAAACAAGTGGAGCAAGGAAGACCCACAAACAAGTGGAGCATGGAAGACTCACAAACAAGTGGAGCATGGAAGACCCACAAACAAGTGGAGCAAGGAAGACTCACAAACAAGTGGAGCATGGAAGACTCACAAACAAGTGGAGCATGGAAGACCCACAAACAAGTGGAGCAAGGAAGACTCACAAACAAGTGGAGCATGGAAGACTCACAAACAAGTGGAGCATGGAAGACTCACAAACAAGTGGAGCATGGAAGACCCACAAACAAGTGGAGCAAGGAAGACTCACAAACAAGTGGAGCAAGGAAGACCCACAAACAAGTGGAGCAAGGAAGACTCACAAACAAGTGGGGACATGGAAGAGCCACAAACAAGTGGAGCAAGGAAGACTCACAAACAAGTGGGGACAAGGTAGACCCACAAACAAGTGGAGCATGGAAGACTCACAAACAAGTGGAGCATGGAAGACCCACAAACAAGTGGAGCAAGGAAGACTCACAAACAAGTGGGGACATGGAAGAGCCACAAACAAGTGGAGCAAGGAAGACTCACAAACAAGTGGAGCAAGGAAGACCCACAAACAAGTGGAGCAAGGAAGACTCACAAACAAGTGGAGCAAGGAAGACCCACAAACAAGTGGAGCAAGGAAGACTCACAAACAAGTGGGGACATGGAAGAGCCACAAACAAGTGGGGACATGGAAGAGCCACAAACAAGTGGAGCAAGGAAGACCCACAAACAAGTGGAGCAAGGAAGACCCACAAACAAGTGGGGACATGGAAGAGCCACAAACAAGTGGGGAGATTGTAACACGATAAATGGTTTAATGTAATATATCACATACAATAAGCGTCAGGCACACGGGATATTGGGGGCGCTAGGCTCTCGGCCTTAGCATTTTCAAACCTTATCAATTCACACCATATTCAAGTGTTAATTGTTCACACAGGATGCCTTCAGGTCAGGTGGCATCAGGTGACCTCGCTGGGATGCTCCCGGACGTAGGTTCGAATCCTCGTCACGGCCCTTGTGGATTTGTTCACTGCCTGAGGTATTCACCGTCACCCAAAGCGTCAAGCTATAGGTGAATACGGTCGTATTTACCTATAGCTTCATGCTTTACACATGTTAGAAAACTTATTTTTATCATAATAATAATAAGAAAATATGATGAGTCAAGAGAGCGTGTTGTAGAAGCCAACTCCATTCATTATTTTAATAGTATTTATGTTTATAAGTTAGACTAGTATTTTAAAAGCCCTATAATCCCCTGTGGTTGTGTGTTCAATAAATCACTGAACTATATGTTTAACACATCTCTCACCCTGTTCATGAAGGACAGAAGAATATATATATATATATATATATGCTGGTTAGCATTATAAAATGTGTGGCCACGTCTGTGGTAGAAAATAATAATAATAATAATAATAATAATAATAATAATAATAATAATAATAATAATAATAATAAAAATAGTAGATATGATGCAAAGATAGATCAGGCATCATTGTGTTAGACAGCCGGAGGCTAGAAAGGCGGGATCCAGATCTAAAGCTGGATCTTGCAGGCACGAATAGGTGAGTACACTCACACACACATAAATGGCTTGACCAGACATTCCCACACACGAATACCTTCGCTAAAATTACTTTTCAAACACGCAAACACAATGACCTGCACGAAATTACATTTACCACATGGAAGGGTGACGTATGTGTATGTGGTCATATGTGTACGTATATGTGTGTGTGTGAGAGTGTGTATACTTACCTATTTGTGCCTGCAGAATCGAGTATTAACTATTGGATCCCGCCTTTCTAGCTGACGGTTTTCTAATGCAGTGACTCTTAGCCTATTTGTCATATCTATTTTGAAAATTATGCATGGAGTTTGCTTCTGTAACCAGCTCCTGTAGTTCATTCTATTGTTCCACTCTTGTACTAAAATCAAATGTTCTAACACACATAGATAGATAGATAGATAGATAGATAGATAGATAGATAGATAGATAGATAGATAGATAGAACCGTCTGCTGTGGCTTCTCACCAACTGCTCACAATAATACCTTCAGATGTAACTTTCAAATATATATAAAAACTATATAAACTATTTCGTTCTTAATGCTTTTCATATACAGTATTTGAATTAGTTTTTACATAATTTCACTCATTTCTTGCTATTTGTTCCTACTTTTATTATTATTGTGTTAATATTCAGTTTTTGGTCGTCTGATACTTCCCATTGCTGTGTGTCCTCTGTCTCTTCCAGGAGCCGCTGTACTCTGGTGAGGAGCCTCTGTACTCTGGTGAGGAACCTCTGTACTCTGGTGAGGAACCTCTGTACTCTGGTAAGGAACCTCTGTACTCTGGTAAGGAACCTCTGTACTCTGGTGAGGAGCTTCTGGCAAGTTTGGTGTCGTTCACAACTCAGCGTTAACGCGCTCCTCTTAGCCTATCCCTCCAAGTTTAAATTATGAAAATTAGTAAATAGTATAAGAAATCGGTCTTAACCGGGTTATTAAAAGAGAGCGAAAGTGGTCCATCTCCTTTCACACCTCCCTCATTACCCCTCCCCAACCATTCCTCCTCTGCATTGTCCACAGCCATTGAAAAATCTTTGCTCAGCCGCCACAAATGCTTTTGATGCGGTGACTGTGCGAGGCTTTCATTATATCATCTCTCGGAATCTGTAAACCGTTTCAGATTTCCCGCGTTAATTTTCGGCGGTAAAAAAAATGTAGTTGGCTGTTGCTTATTTTTATCTTGTTTTCCGCTGATGGAGATTAGAATGAAAGCTTTGTGGCAGATTTGTTGAATGAATCCGTTGAGTTTTTAAGTGAGTTGTTTGACGCGCCAATATTTTGGCGGGAGAAATATTGATCAGTTATTGTGTTTTTCGCTGTGACTCTTTCACGGGTTACTATTTTTCCTTGCTGTTGCAGACTAGGTTCAAAGCTTCGTGATAAATGGTGTAAATGAATTAAATAACTGAATTGAATCGTTGTATGTTAGCAAGAACTAACTGAATTATTTTTGTTGGCTTAATTTATTGAATGTCGAACCCAATATATGGCGTGGAAAATGGCAGACAATTTGAGGGGGATTCATTTAAAAAAAAAAAATCGGTAACAGACATAGAAGCCAAGTAAATGTATAAGTAGGTTAAGTAATACCATACAAGGAAGATGTTTGTTGAATACAACCGGCCACACCATAGTGCCAAGCAGGACATATATGAGGACATGGTCTCAACATCTCCAACACTTAAACAACTGGGCACATAAAGGGCAGGTGGGTGAGCGGGCAGCACGCTGGCCGCGTGATCCTGTGGTCCCGGGTTCGGTCCCGGGCGCCGGCGAGAAACAATGCGGCAGAGTTTCTTTCACCCTAATGCTCCTGTTACCTAGCAGTAAATAGGTACCTGGGAGTTAATCAGCTGTCACGGGCTGCTTCCTAGGGTGTGTGTGTGTGGTGTGGAAAAAAACAATAGTTATTAGTAACAGTTGAGAGGCGGGCCGAGAGAGCAGAGCTCAACCCCTGCAAGCACAGCTAGATGAATACAACCCCACAAGTTAAGATGATAATAATAACATGTAAAATGGAAAATTATTTTGTATTTTGTTTTTCCTTATATGAGACAGCACACAAAGGGGGAGGTGCACAGTATATCATTAAAAAAGAACTAAAGCTGAGGGCAACACAAGAAGCTGCCTAAGCGGCAGGTTTGGTGACCTGACAGCAGGATACTGTACATGGAAAACAATTCAAAACGGAAGCTCCTAGCAAGGCCCCGGAGCGGGAGGCTTAACGTGTATGGGGTCCCGCCGGCCGCCGCCGTACCCACTCGTGGGCTCCGGCCAGGTCATTCACCCTCTTGTGAGGAACCATTCGGAGAAGTAGTACTCCACATGACGACTGCTTAGATAGTTAGCTGCCAGCTATCCTGGCTGCGGTTCACCTAAACAAGATTATATTAACCCTTATGCACCCCACACGGGTGCATAAGCCACACGGTAACCCTGGAACTAAGGTGGTCTGCCCCTTGATGTGGTCTTGGGCCATATTCTGTAGATGGTATATGTCCAGGGCTTTCACAGAGTAAATCTCAAATCTCAAATCTGGAACTTCTGGGATTGTGTATCAATTCTGAGACATCAGTCCAGATGTGCAGAAGACTGGTGAGATCCTCCAATCTCACTTATCAGCGTCGTGCCAGGGCCGAGGGGGGCAGAACAAGCCCCCTAGCCTATAAGAACAAGCCTATAAGAAATACTATCCAGGCCTCTCATATTGAGGCTGGTGAGGGTTGCAGGAGGTGCGAGCAAGGAGTGAGGTGGGCAAATTACCCGCTGTGCACCGGGTTGTGAGTTCATCTACCCCCAACGATGAGTTATAGACGGCCTACTGAGGAGGCGAGGCGCCGGATGACAGTGGAACAGCTGGTGGCACAGGTCTGTCAGTTGAGCTCCACATTCTCTCCCGCCACCCATTCAGGATGATAGAGAGACAGGGATTGACAGCTCTGGCCGTCACTCTGGTACTGACAGCTCTGGCCGTCACTCTGGTACTGACAGCTCTGGCCGTCACTCTGGTACTGACAGCTCTGGCCTTCACTCTGGTACTGACAGCTCTGGCCTTCACTCTGGTACTGACAGCTCTGGCCTTCACTCTGGTACTGACAACTCTGGCCTTCACTCTGGTACTGACAGCTCTGGCCTTCACTCTGGTACTGATAGCTCTGGCCGTCACTCTGGTACTGATAGCCCTGGCCGTCACTCTGGTACTGACAGCTCTGGCCTTCACTCTGTTACTGACAGCTCTGGCCTTCACTCTGGTACTGACAACTCTGGCCTTCACTCTGGTACTGACAGCTCTGGCCTTCACTCTGGTACTGACAGCTCTGGCCTTCACTCTGTTACTGACAGCTCTGGCCTTCACTCTGGTACTGACAGCTCTGGCCTTCACTCTGTTACTGACAGCTCTGGCCTTCACTCTGTTACTGACAGCTCTGGCCTTCACTCTGTTACTGACAGCTCTGGCCTTCACTCTGGTACTGACAACTCTGGCCTTCACTCTGGTACTGACAGCTCTGGCCTTCACTCTGGTACTGACAGCTCTGGCCTTCACTCTGTTACTGACAGCTCTGGCCTTCACTCTGGTACTGACAGCTCTGGCCTTCACTTTGTTACTGACAGCTCTGGCCTTCACTCTGGTACTGACAGCTCTGGCCTTCACTCTGGTACTGACAGCTCTGGCCTTCACTCTGTTACTGATAGCTCTGGTCGTCACTCTGGTACTGACAGCTCTGGCCGTCACTCTGGTACTGATAGCCCTGGCCGTCACTCTGGTACTGACAGCTCTGGCCTTCACTCTGGTACTGACAGCTCTGGTCGTCACTCTGGTACTGATAGCTCTGGTCGTCACTCTGGTACTGATAGCTCTGGTCGTCACTCTGGTACTGACAGCTCTGGCCTTCACTCTGGTACTGACAGCTCTGGTCGTCACTCTGGTACTGATAGCTCTGGTCGTCACTCTGGTACTGATAGCTCTGGCCTTCACTCTAGTACTGACAGCTCTGGTCGTCACTCTGGTACTGACAGCTCTGGTCGTCACTCTGGTACTGACAGCTCTGGCCTTCACTCTGGTACTGACAACTCTGGCCGTCACTCTGGTACTGACAGCTCTGGTCGTCACTCTGGTACTGACAGCTCTGGCCGTCACTCTGGTACTGACAACTCTGGCCGTCACTCTGGTACTGACAACTCTGGCCGTCACTCTGGTACTGACAGCTCTGGTACTGACAACTCTGGTCGTCACTCTGGTACTGACAACTCTGGCCGTCACTCTGGTACTGACAACTCTGGCCGTCACTCTGGTACTGACAACTCTGGCCGTCACTCTGGTACTGACAGCTCTGGTCGTCACTCTGGTACTGACAACTCTGGCCGTCACTCTGGTACTGACAGCTCTGGCCTTCACTCTGGTACTGACAGCTCTGGTCGTCACTCTGGTACTGATAGCTCTGGCCGTCACTCTGGTACTGATAGCTCTGGCCTTCACTCTGGTACTGACAGCTCTGGCCGTCACTCTGGTACTGATAGCTCTGACCGTCACTGGTACTGACAGCTCTGGCCGTCACTCTGGTACTGATAGCTCTGGCCGTCACTCTGGTACTGATAGCTCTGGCTGTCTGGTACTAACAGCTCAGATAACCAACATAACCGCCTCCCTCCCAATAACTCATTTGCTTAAGTAATTAGATTGGGCTTACGGCGTCCATCAGTTGTCTGACAGGCCTCGTCCGTCCTCTGAAGCTGGGATACCTGGGCGTACCTGCTACAATATTAATAATAATAATATAATTATTTTTATGAATATTATTAAGTCAACAATGTAATTATAAATTAATCAAGGCATCTCACCCCCGGAGGTCTGCTTCCATTACTGTGTAATTAATTGTTTCTGGCTCACGTTATTCTGAATTACTTTATAATTATAATCGTGGGATTATTTACATGTTGTTATTGTTTATAACGTGTAGTAAATGGAAACTCATTTTCTGCATGTTTTCTTGTGTAGTTTACTGTTCAATGTTTTATTTACCGTTTTCTCTCATACCAAAATCTTCACACCATTCCTCCCCCAAAAATGTGTAAACACGCTAGATAAAATAATAATGTCTCACTAGACGTGAAAACAATACCAATGACCCACATATTGGCCTTAAGAAATATTGTAAAATCATAAGAACACACAGAATGAGGGAGTGTTGTTGCGAAGTTAAAGTGTACGAGCAAAAACTAGCACAAATTAATCACACTTTAGCTGCCATTACGCCGGCAAGTTGCGTCGCTGAGAATTGATGGTCCACTTAGCGCCCAGCCGCCGGGATACAAGCACTTATATATTTTCACATTTTCTCTCTCTCCAGGCGCCGTGCACTCAAGCAAATCCTAATCTCGGCAATTTGCATCAAGTGCAGTACTCGTGTAACTTTTGACTTGGCTCGCAACTTTTGGAAAATAGGCCGCGTGATATTAATTTTGTGTGTGTGTGTGGAGGGAATTGCATGTGTATTGATTATTTTGGATTTAAGGGGATATACACGTTGATCACAAGCCGAGCCTAGTCATAACAGTGGGATTAGCAGGATGTTGTTGTAGGGGGTAACACTGCCTCCACCGTAGTGCTGTGGTGGGGTGCTCTTTGTTACCACCACTACACTGCCACCACACCACAGCCTAAAGACCGCAACACTACCACCACCTTCATATAACGGCACCTCCGCACACCTAACGGTGGTCACAATCACACCACCACAACACCGTCACACCATTGCACCTGCGTCACACCCCATGGGATGAGTATGGGGTGCACAATAAACCAGCCCGTCCTCCTAAAGGTTTCCCAACGTCAAGAAACTGTCGGACTAAAGTGCCCCTATCCTAACCTACCAGAAAACTCAAAACAGAACACGGAACAGTACGTCACTTTTGCCAGCCGCTTCCATTTTCTAGTACGACAATATTTGGCGTTATGTAACGCATACGGTCGAAAAGCGACGTTCTTTGTTGGAGGACAGGTAGATGCAGGAGGTCTAGGAGGTCACCAAGACAGTGCGGGTGGGTGGTGGTGGGGGGGGGGGGGCAGTGTGGGCCACACACTGTACCTATTGTACACAATAGGTGGGTGCCTATTGTGTACAATCCCGCGGTGGAAAAAAACATTCTGGGATAATTGTCGAGAGTCTGGTCTGGATTGAAGGAGTAAGGCTTAAGATATGCATGAATCCCCTCTACTTTATCACGTTTAAAATACAACAGTATTTTAAGCGTTTCCATGAGATGAGCCGTGTCATGTCTGGCCTGCAGTGGTGTTAGTCCTGTGGCCCTCAACCCTTCCTGGGGTGAGAGGTGACTTAGTTCTCGAATGATTTTTGTTGCCCGGTGTTGAACTTTCTCCAGACCAGCTATGTCTCCCTGAAGGTGAGGTCTCCATGCTTGGATACAACAATCAGAGATTTATACAGTTGAATAACTACTTTCTTTTCCTTTAAAGTCAAAGGTACGCTTGATTATTCCTAGGGTTTGGTTAGCTTTTTTACTGCCGCTCCCACTTTAAAAACAAAAGCTTATGGAACTTGCAGTGAATGATGGATTCTGTCTCCAAGGTCCTTTACTTCATCAGTCTGCTGCAATATAATGTTAATTTCTAGTTGTGACGTAGGTTGTTACGCCCCAGATGCAAGGATTTGCATTTCTCGATATTAAAGAGCATTTGCCAGTCTTCAAACCATTTGTGAAATTCGTGTAGATCTTTTTGTAAGGCTTCAATATCATTATCATTTCCCACTTTACCATAAATCTTAGTGTCATCTATAAATTTGACGATGTGGGTTGTAATATTCTCATCTACGTCATTGATGTATATGACAAAACGGGTTGGTCCCAAAGTGGAGCCCCTAGCCCCAACCTAACCGAAACCATTATAAGCCTACCTAACCTAGCCTATCTAAACCTAGCCTAATTTGACGATAACAAGAAATAAAGTTTAGTTTTATATAAGGTGTGTGTGCAGGAGGTGTGTGAGGTGACTGGCGTCATAATGTTGGTGTGGTGCATGTTTGGGTTCCCACTGGATTACAGAGCAACTTACACTCACAGCACTAAGTGTACACTCACAGCACCAAGTGTTACAGTGAGAGAGGAAGACATACTGCGCCACTTGCGGTCGGCAGCAAATTTGACATAAAGAGATTAGTGAGAGGAAGAGTCGAGAAGAGTACAGTCTACGAGAGAGGCAACTATACAAGAATTAATTAATAATAATTAATAATTAATTAATTAATAACTGAAGGAAATAATAAAGGAAAAGGAGTTTAGATGAGAGTTAACACCAGTCTTACCACCTGAGCATATTCCACAGAATAACATAACCATTCATTATGTCAGGGACAGGAAGCTTGTGTATATACTTAAGGTTTGTATCACTCACTATTCTAGGAAGTTTGTGTTGCTCACGTGGCCCCACAAAGTAAATTGATTCGAAGAAATATATATGCCCGAGTTGACCACCGAGCGCTGCCACTCCTGTGCCAGGTAAGTTACGGGCTCACCATAGCCCGTGCTACTTGGAAGTTGTTCTAAGAAGCTGAATCTATAACAACAACAACAATATCGAGCGCTGTCGGATCTTGGATGAAAGTCTCACGACAAGTCGTGAGACTTTCACGACAAGTAGTCACGACCATTCAGACTTGTTTGCATATATATATTCGAACAAGTCTGAATGGTCCCCCCAGGCATAGGTAGCCGAGGCTATTTGCCCATCATTCCGACGGCACTTTGATGGTAATCTTGGGCATAGTTATTTTATCAAATCACCTCATTTTGTGGGGCCACGTGAGCAACACAAATGCGAACAAGCCTGAATGGTCCTCGGGCATATATGCAACTGAACACTCCACACCCCAGAAGTGACTCGAACCCATACTGCCAGGAGCACTCTGCAACTGGTGTATAGGAGACCTTAACCACTTGACCATCAGTGACCGTACAACAACACCATCTATATATACGTATATATAGATGGTGTTGTATAACACGGATATATATATATACGGTCACCATCAGTGACCGTATATATATATATATTATATATACTATAAAATTTACTATAAAACCAAAAAAACGGCCAACCTACTCATGAGAAACTCTCCAGACACCAAGCAGAACGCTTTAAAAGAGACCAACGTCGTCTATCCCTACAAATGTCCACTTGGGGACTGTAAGCCTCAAAGAACTCAGTATATAGGCAAGACAACAACATCTCTTTCCAGGCGATTAACGAAGCATAAGCAACAGGGCTCCATTAAGGAACATATAATCTCTTCTCACAATCAGACCATCACCAGAGAAGTCTTAACAAACAACACAGAAATCATCGATAGATACAGCGATAACAGGCGGCTTGATATCTGCGAGGCACTACACATCAAGAAGTCAACACCAGCAATCAACAGCCAATTAATGCACAACTATATTCTACCCACTTCAAGACTCCGCTCCAATATAGAAGCATTTAGAAATATGGGCCAATAGGCCCTTTGCAGTTACTTCCATTCTTCCCTTTAATTTACCCAATTTATACCCATTGTTTCGTGTTCTATTTTGTGTTTAAAGTTTTGTTCACCTCATCCAAAACTGTTGTAACATATCACCTCACCCAAAAGCGGGTATATAAGATGAAAGCTGTTTAAATGATAGCATAGAACTCTGTTTAGTGTTTACAGGTTATAGCTGTGTGTGTGTAAACTAAAGTCTTTGAAAATGTAATAAGTTATTACGAAACGCGTTCAAGTGTCGCGTCAGACTAGAAATAAAAATGAATTTTGGAGAACTGATTTTTCAATTACCATCGACAGTGAAAAGAAACATAAGAAATATTGAGAAAATTCGTGTTAGAATTATTAATCTTACTTTTTCGGTCATATTTAATAATATATATATATATATATATATATATATATATATATATATATATATATATATATATATATGTGTGTGTGTGTGTGTGTGTGTGTGTGTGTGTGTGTGTTTGTGTAAATCACGAAAAATACACACGTTATTAAAAATGTGACAGTGTCAGACCACGGAGGAAAATTGAAACAGGAATTTCCTTAAGAACTTTCGTATATTAATACATATTCAGGAGTGAAGATGTATTAATATACGAAAGTATTTAAGGAAATTCCGGTTTTAATTTTCCTCCGTGGTCTGACACTGTCATTTTATATATATATATATATATATATATATATATATATATATATATATATATATATATATATATATATATATATATATATATATATATATATATATATATATATATATATATATATATATATATATATATATATTATATATATATATATATATATATATATATATATATATATATTTATATAATGCTTTTTTCAAAACTAGAACAATAGAGTATTTAATTTCCTCACCAAAATATCGCGCTTTGTGGTACTGAGTGTTAATGGCATTGCAAGAATGTACCACATAATCACCGTATAGTCCTTTCATAACCCAGTGATATATTTTCACACCAAAATT